GTTAGTACGTCGTTCTCTCTCTCTCTCTCTCTCTCTCTCTCTCTCTCTCTCTCTCTCTCTCTCTCTCTCTCTCTCTCTCTCTCCTCCCCCTTTCCCTTTTTCCCTCTTCTCTTCTTTTTCCTCTCTCCCTCTTTCTCATCTTTGTTACAGTAACATTATGCAAGGAAAGGTGACGATGGCTATCGTATAAGCGATGCTTTTCTTCGTCATTGCCATAGCGCATTGTACTTTTTTCGAGATACTTCTCTCATTTTACCGAATAGCATCTCACACGGATAAGGTTACTGTCAGGAATCCGCGGATTTTCTGGACCATTGTTCGAGAAAACGTCTTGGTACACGAGAAACCATAGGCCACTATATGGTCACTAAAAAAATTTGAATCTTGACGCATTCCTTTACGCATTTACTCAATTTCTTACGAATATCTGTGGTGAGTAAAATCGATTATTATCAATTTAGTATCAATAAAAACTTATAGAAATGATAGATTATAAAACTTCTTATAGAACTTATAGGAATGCTATAAATTATTACTAAGCCTCGAAATTATAATCATTATCTCTATAAATCATGTAAGATGAAATAAACTTTATCTTTTGTAAAAAGTTTACATACTGTTTATTTTCTATTCATATTACTAATTACTAATATGAATAATTAAGTGTCTTAAGTTGCCACCACCAATTGACAATCTGAAACGATTGCTGAAGTGAAAATGATAGTAGATGATAACTCTGTGATAACTAAGCGAAAAGAAAGGTCATTCAAAATATCCTTTGTGGCATAGAGGACGGAAATGTTCGAGCAAAATAGCAGATATATGTACTTACAGTGTACGTGCAACATCATTCGTTTGCTGACTGACGGAGGTACTCCGTTGCTGGCGATGCACAGGTAGGCGCCCATCTCGCCCCTCGTTACTTTCGACAAAGTCAGCGTTTCGCCTTCTGCACTGGGTACTGCAATATTGCAAGATGCGAAGACGGGCAGTCTCAGAGATTAGCTCGTTACATAATCAAAGTATACGCAATACATTAATTTCATCCGAGCAATTTAACAGATGCTTAATTTAAACTTATGCATAAGATGCATAAGAACGTCCATATGGAAACTTTGTCATTATTTAAGTTATCAAATTGAATTTGTCCTTTGATCGAGATAGTTTTGTTTCATTAAAATTACAGTTACGAACTTAAGAAAATAGGAGCTCACAGAGCTCTAAATTGGAATTATTTATACATATATAATATAATAAAGAAAGATATATTTTCGGTATATGTTTAAATGTTTGTTTCTTTTTTTCTGAATTATAAATTAAAATTTTTTTTTAGGACTACACACATCACGAGAGAAACGATCTCTTGTAAAATAATTTTCTATACTGATTTTATATATACGCCAGGTGATATGAAACAACGACTGTCGATTAAATTCTGATCCTCACAGGTTGCGGATTACTATCCCGATGGGATCAATTTTAATTGCGCCGACAGTCTCGCAACCGAAGAAAGCTGTTTGGTACCGTAGCAATACGCCCGGAGCGTATCGCTCCCAAGAGAAAAACGAGATTGACTGGCACGAAATAAAACTTGGAGTCCTTACTTTTTGTTTTGCCACCAGAGACGCCGGCTCGCGAAATGATTTCGGCGCCGTCTTCTCGCTTCCACACGATGTCAGGCTTGGGATAACCGCGCGCTTTGCACACCAGCTTCGCGGCACCTCCCTCGGGAACCATCATGTCATTCGAGGTCTCCTCCGAGATGATATCTGGCGGTATTACTACCTCCAAAAATGCGCTCTGCGAATACGGCGGAGATAAATTATAGCAGAGCTGTATATATATATATATATATATATATATGCAGGTGTATAGCGAGGAAGGAATATGGAGTGTTACGGAATACACAACGAAATCACCAACCAAAGTATTGAAGTGGAAAATCAACTGAGGTCGCAATTATAAATCAATGAACTTGAGAGAATTTTTGTATTACGGAAAAATTTTCCCATTCGCTCGATAATTTCGCATGATGATAATTCTTAATTGTTTTATTTATATTTTATATTTCATTACTCTTATACTTCTGTTCATTTATAGTATAAATTTAAAAAAAAAAAAAAAAAAAAAAAGATCCGTCTACATGGAAATATTTTTCACGTAAGATAAATTAGTTTTATAAAGGGCATTTTTATAGGAAAGGGTTATATTTACGTTACCTGACTCTTCATAGGATCCGTGTTGACCTGACACATATAAATCCCACGATCTTCCCGGCGTGCACTGCGAATATTCAACGTCCAGGTATTGTAGTCGCTGTGGGTCACCGATAGGCGAGCGTTGTTCGTAATCACGTGCTCATGAATCGCTAGAATCGCCTTGGTGTCTGCTTTTATCCACGCCACCTGATCTCACAAACCCATTTCTTAAAAAGTGATTCAAAACTGTTTTCGCCTTTCCAAAGCCTATCTAATATTATCGCTATTACGTACATTGTTGATCAACGATTCCTAACCAGAGTCTACCTCAAGAGATCATTTCATTTAAAATGCTTACTAAATTAGATTGTTTTTACAATTTTTCGCAAAATTCTTATCCCTGAATTAATTCTTTCGACACTAGATTTGGTACTAAAATTACCTAAATTATTTTATTTATATCTTTTGATGTAATTAAAATTAAAACCTGAGGCTTAATGAGCATAAATGGTATTTAGTATGATATATTACGTAGGTATCGAGAGAATTAATTATTAGGCAAAATTGAAAAATCGCCACGTACATTGATGTGACGAAGGAAGACTCGAACTTCCTGCTAACCTAAAGCACTTTCCTATCGTTCTTTCCCGGTTTTCTTTCTCTTCTACGTCAGTTAGGTCCTGAAATATTCGGAAGTACAATCTTAAGCTTCCCGTCGCGATTCAAATGTGAACTCGATTACGATAACGTCTGCGAGACTTTGCGCAGAAGAGAGTTATGGAATACGGGACGCTTTCTATTCGCGAATGAATGAAATATTCGTATGTATCGCCTCGAAGGCAGGCATCAAAAGCCTGGTATATTCCACGAAAGAATCTTCTCTTTATGGCAAAGTCTGGCTACGGCTCTTCCGCCATATTCCTCGGACAGGAAAACTGTACCGTACTGCGCCGCGACGGTCTGCCACTGTGTAAATATGAAGGATTCCGCGAGCAAGAACAAGATAACCCCCATAGAAACGTAACTTTCTAGAAAAATAAAGAAAAGTAAAGCCACAAGAGATGACGGTTTAGCACCAAAGTTCAGGTACTCTACTCTCACAGGATGTGAAGTCATTATGTTTACATCAACAAAAACTCGAACGCGAGCTTTGTATTGAAATTATAAAAAATAGTAAATAGGATAGAAAATAAAAACGTCGGTCAAACAAACATATCTTTACCTGTGATCTTCCTGTGGATTGGTACAATTTATTACACGTTCTTGATGCTTTCGTGAATGTAACTTATTATTACTTTTGAAGTGACTATCGTGACCGTTCCAAATGTGGGTTACCACACTTTCGCCCCGTGATCCTTCGTATCGTCAACAACATTAAATTGAACTCTCACCGGTTATTACAGTTCGCTCTCCAAGCCGCCTGATAT